TACTGTATCAGGCAAAAGCTGTTTATAGTGTATCTTCATAAGCGAAAGGTTTTAGAAAGGAGTATTTGATTGCTTATGGAGAATCAAAAACTGGAGAAGTAAATCTGTGGGCTAAGGAATATGGGAGCAGAATTATCACTGACCAGGGATAGTTACCATTTCACTTTGCAAGATTGGCAACAAAATCTGTTAAAAGGAAAAAAAATCTTCTTATATAAAGATATCAATACTAATGATGGAATTTTTCCACCACTGGCCTATACTGCTAGGAAGGGAGCTTGCCATTACAAAAGTCAGAGTAACTAACAATATAATACCTTTAGTACTCATTTTCAAATAAATATGGAATGTGAACTTAAATTCTGCCCAAATAGTTTAAGTATAGTGGGAAATTGTACACTATATGCCTTAGTCTTCGTCCATTCCAGGAAACAAAATTCTTGATTTGATAGCCTTTTTATTTTCCATTAACTTTGGTCTTAGGGTAGAGATTACTGTACTATCACACTGAATTTGCTATTTATGCAGTATAATGCTGTTGCAGTCAAAAATACTGTTATCTGCATTTTTCTTACATGAAGTAATAGTGCTTAGAATTGACTTCTATACCACTTACTGTTTTTTTAAGTACATCAAAGACAATTAATGCTGGAGTAATCACCATTGCATAAGTTGTCAATGAAAAGTGTACAGTTTCTGGATGCAAAAAAATACACCCTTTTAGCGTTCTCACTAGTTGGGTTTGAGCAAGAGAGCCTTGTGTACTAGTTTTCAGACTGACAAGCTTCAGGTTCTATTGGGATGCTGAACAATTTGAAAAATGTGCTCTCCCTGTGTATCCTTTGACTCAGCCAAGTTCAAAACTTATTATTCAACTGAGCACTGTAATAATTCTTCTGCCTATTGCCTTATTAAATCTCTCAGATAATTCTATCAATGTATGGAAGATTAACTCCAAACAAAACTGTGGGCCAAGTGATGAGTGTGCCTTATACAAGCATAATGAAACCCTATAAACATAACATCATATATTACATTTTTTTGTGTATCCTAAGAAGAAAAATAAAATAGATGTTGTCATTAAAATAGATAAATTCTGTACTTGGATACTTAGAATGCATTTTAAGACATTGAACTCCAAGTGTTGAATTCCGGGTGTTGAATTCCAGGGTGCAAAACAGCATCCTAGATGCGGTCTAATAAGCATTAAGGGGATAATCACTTCCTTCAGTCTACTGGCTCTCCTCCCTTTAGTAAAGCTCAGGTTGCTGTTGTCTGCTTTCTCTGCCACAATACACTGCTGGCTCACATTCAGCTCGCTGCTCCACCAGGGCCCCCAGGTCCTTTTCTGCACAGCTACTCTCCAGCCAGTCCATCCCAGACTATATTGTTGCTGAGGTTCCCTCCTTCCCAGGTGTAGGGCTTTGCATTTGTCCTTACTAAATTGCATGAGATACCTGCTGACCTGTTCCTCTAGCCTGTCAAGGCCCCTCTGAATGGCAACCCTGCCTCCTCATTTGTGAACTGGAGGAAAATTAACATCTTTGCCAATGATCTGGAGAATGCAAAAGAGTTTAACAAGAATAAAAGCTCTTAATTGCAACTCTGTAAAGAGGAAAAACTGCAAAAACATACACATTTTTTTAATCTTACATTTTCTGCCCTCTTTTTATTTACACTTAGAAAATAATGTCAAATACAATCTCAAGCTTCTTCTGTATGACTGCCTGCTATTGATTATTAACATAATAGCAACATGTACATAAGGGCAGAATATCCTCCCACCTTCTTCTACTTTCTCTTAGGTATTGAATAAGCAACTTTCTACAGAATGTTGGGTTTTTTTTTAAAAAGCAATGAGGTACAGTTTATGTGATCAAGTTGAGCAGAGCAGTGCTAGTATCCATCACTTCTTCATTTCTGAAACACATCTTCAGTCCACTTGCCAAGTAAAGGCACAGATGGAAATCAAGAACTAGAACACAGTTCTAAAACAAGCATTCTGTGGCATTACAAATTGCACAATGTAACTATAATAATTAAATTTTAGAAACTATGTAGAATAGGTGCTTATTCAAAAGTCTGACTTCAAAATTGTCTAATGTATTTACACAG